GGCTGCAGAGTCTCTGCAGGCCTGGCTGCTCCCATAGAATAGGAGACTAGAATGACTTCTCAAACCAAATGGGGCAATTTCGTCAAAGGAGCTGAACTGGGGTTGGACAGTTCCCTCTACCCAGCCATCCTGTTGGGTAGACTAAATGAAAAGCGGCCACATGCTGGATACTATTTGTCACACAATCCCATTTCCACTGGGGATCTCCTAAACTGGAGAAATTTTGTCCTCTCCTAAACTGGAGAAATTTTGTTCCTGAATACCAGTAGGATGCTGAAAGGATGGCTAACTTTTGCCTCTATTTTTGTCTCCTATCTGGCTACACAGGGAGAGATACAACCCATGTTACAAACACTGTTGACTTTGGATGAACAGAGGATGGTTTTAAGGAAGGCCAGAGGCTCATTCTAGAGGCTCATTGTCTCCACAGGGAGTATCTATTGTAGAACCAGAAGAAGCCATGCCAATGGTAGACCCTAAGTGGGATGTGGATGAAAGGGGAATGGAAAAGCTAGAACACTTTAAGATGTACTTAGTAGGGCTGAAGCAGGGAATTCCTAAGCAGAAAAAATTGGAAAGATATTAAAATTTCAACAAAAAGCCCATGAGGAGCCATTTAAGATTCTTGAAAAGATTAGCCACGTCTTTTTGTGATTTTATTCCTTGCCTTATTCTGTTCTGTTCTTCCTATTTATTCCTCTGTTGGTTTTGGCTTTAGGCCTTCTTGTAGTGTTTTTTGGAGTGAAGGTTTAGCTGTAAAGAAATTCTGTTGATTCTCTTTGTTTGAGAAGTTACTTATTTTTCCTTCATAGGTGAAGGGGAGCTTTTCAGGGTAAAGTATTCTTGGTTGGCATTTGTTGACTTGGAGTTTGTTGACTATGTCACTCCATTTTCTTCTCAGCTGTAGTATTTCTTTGGAAAAGTCTGGCGTCATTCTGATTGGTTTTCCTTTATAGGTTATCTGTTTCTTCCCCCTCATCAGCGTCATCATTTTTTCCTTGTCTTGGACTTTTGGGAAGCTTTACTATTATGTGTCTTGCTGTAACTTTCCTTTCCTTGTGGTAATTTGGTGTTCTTCTAGCTTCTTGTATGTCTATTTTCATCTCCTTCCTCATGCTTGGGAATTTCTCTTTGATTATCTCCTTGAATAGTTTCTTGGTTTTTTGTCTCTCTCCTCATATTCTGGGATTCCTATAACTCCTATATTTCCTAGTTAGTTCTCGAGCATTTCTCCTTCTTTTTCCAATGTACTTCTCTTTCTTTTTCTTGTTGGTTCTTTTTCTATCTGTGTCTTTGAGACTACTGATTTGTTCTTCCATTTCATCAATTCTGTTTTCATTACTTTTCCAGAGTTCTTTATGTCCTCTGTTAATCTTTTAATATCCAGTGTTTCCTTCATTTCCTTCTTTAAAGCCTCAATTTCATCCTTCAGTTCATTAATTATATTTCTCATATCATTCTTTTCCTTTTCATCTTTATGTTTTAATCATGGTGATTCCAAATTCTCTAGTTGCAGGCAGAGAAGTTCTTCCATGTCATTGTTGTTTATTTCTTAGGCGAGAATTTCTTTTTGTGTCCTTCCCAGATGGCTTACTTGGTTATTTGTATATTTCCTTCTTGTTTTTTTTTTCCTAATTTTTTCTATGTGTTGGGCCACTGTGCCACTGGTACTGGCAGGCATCTCTTCGGGATACTTCTCCCAGGACATTGGCAACTGGTGGCCAGACTGAGTCCAGCACTTTCATGCTAGACTCCACAAGGATAGTGATGCTGTGGATGGGTTGATGGGTGCTGTCACTGAAGACCGCTGATCTTTGTGTTTATTTTTTTTTTCTTTTAAAGATTTATTTATTTGTGCATATAAGATTTTTGTATGCTGCTGGTCTGTTCCCCTACTTGCCCGTCTTAACCTTTTTTTTTGCAGAACCCTTCCTCTATCTTTACTCAGTTCCAGAAGGGGATCACTGGTTGCTGGCTTTCAACAGCCCAGCAGGCAGGCCTACACTTTCCTGGGACCCACAGCTCACCTTGATGGCAGAACCCTCCCTCTCTTCTACTCAGTTCCAAAAGGGATATGTGTGGTCATGGGCCTCTAGCAGCCTTGCACAGGTCAGCACTTTCCTGCTCACCTTTGTTTGCAGAGTCCTCCCTCTGTCTTTACTCAGTTCCAGAAAGGAATCACTCTTGCTGGCTACCAACAGTCCAGCAAGCAGGCCTGCACTTTCCTGGGACCCACAGTTTACCTTGATGGTGGAGACCTCCCTCTCTTCTATTCAGTTCTAAAAGCGGGGGTGGGGGTGTGGGGAGGTGGAGTTGCCTCTGGTAGCCTTGTGCAGCCATGTTTAGTGTTTTCCGACACTTCCATATTGCTTTTCACACTGGCTGGACCAGGTTTGATTTCCCATATGCCCAAAACCCGTAGGAGGGTTTCCTTTTCTCTACATCTTCACCAGCACTTGTTTCTGGTCATTTTAATATGGGCCATTCTCACAGTTGTGAGAGATCTCATTGTGGTCTTGATTTGCATTTCTCTAATAATAAGTGATTGAAAACACTTATTCATGTGCCTGCTAGCCATTTAAATGTCTTCTTTGGAAAGGTGTGTCTTTAGCTTTTTTAATCCATTTTTTTAAATGCATTTTTTTAATAGAGGCATGTTTTATTTGTTTGTTTGTTTGTTTGTTTGTTTGTTTATACATGCACTGGGTACAGTCAGAAGCATGGGAGGGTGAGAGAATTCACCAGAGCCAGAGCTGGGAGCACAGCAGGCAGAAGGACCGAGGTACACTGCTGAGGGGAGCAGCGGGCGGCAGGAGAGGTCTGCGCGCCATGCGGGACCCTCCTCTGGTGGCTGGGGAGCAGCCGGGGATGGAACTGGCGCCGCAGAGGCCGCGCGCAGCTTCTCAACCTAGCGCTCAACCGCTGCGCCACCGGGGAGACCCTTAATCCAATTTTTGAATGGGTTATTTATTTTTTGTAAAGTTTTATGTGTTTTTTGTTTATCTTTGATATCAGTTCTTTATGGATGTGTGACATGCTCCCATTCAATAGGGTGTCTTTTCATTTTAGTTATGGTTTCTTTCACTGTACAGAAGCTTTTTAGTTTGATGTAGTCCAAGCTGTTCTCTTTTGTTTTCCTTTCTGTTGGTGATGACTCCCTAAAGTCATCACTAAAGATTATATCATGAAATGTTTTGCCTATGTTTTCTTCTATGTTTTTTATGGTTTCAGGTTTTCCATCCAAGTCTTTGATCCACATTTGGTTGATTTTGGTGTATGGTATGAGACTATGGTCTAGTTTCATTTTTTTGTATGCAGCTGTCCAGTTTACCCAGCAGCATTAATTGAAAAGACTATCTTTATAATTGTCTGTTTATTTTTCTTTTGTTGTGTTGTGTTTTGTACTGGTATTATTTTTTCCCCTGATGTCTTATTTGGTTCTCCTATATTCCTCCTATAAGTGAAACCATCTGATATTTTTCTTTTTCCTTCTAACTTATTTCACTGAGCATAATTCCTTCTAGCTCCATCCACGTTGCTGCAAATGGCATGAGTTTGTTTATCTTTTTTGATGGCTTAATAATATTCCATTGTGTTTATATACCACATCCTGATCCGTCATCTATTCTTGGGCATTTGGGTTGTTTCTAGGTTTTACCTATTGTAAATAGTGCTGCAATAAACAGAAGGACAGGTGTTCTTTTGAATCAATGTTTTTGTGTCCTTTGGGTAGATCCCTAGGAGTGGAATTGCCAGGTCATATGGTAGCTCCATTTTTAGTAGACTAAGGAACCTCCAGACAGCTTTCCATAGTGGTTGGACCAGTTTGTACTCCCAGCAGCAATGTAGGAAAGTTCCTTTTCACCACATCCTCACCAACATTTGTTGTTGCTTGTTTTTTTGATATGTGCCATTCTTACTGGTGTAAGGTATAAGGTGGCATCTCAATGTGGTTTTGATTTGCATCTCCCTGATTATAAGGGATGTTGAACTTTTTTTGTATGCCTGTTGGCCATTTGCATTTCCTCTTTAGAGAAATGTCTTTTAAGATCTTCTGCCCATTTCTTGACTGGATTGTTTATTTTGTTTTTGTTGAGTTGTGTGAGTTCTTTTTATATCTTTGTAATCAGTGCCTTATCAGTTGACTGGAGTGTAAAGATTTTTTCCCAGTCAGTAGTGTGTCTCTCTGTTTTGGTTAATGTCTCTTGCTGTGCAGAAGCTTTTCAGTTTGATATAATCCTAGGTGTTTATCTTTTCCTTGACTATCTTTGCTTTGGGTGATAAGTCTTTAAAGATGTTATTGCAATGTATGTCTTGTAGTGTTTTATCTATATTTTCTTCTATATATTTTATGGTTTCAGGTCTTAAGTCCAGTTGTTTTATCCATTTTGAGCTGATTTTTGTGCATGGTGAGAGGTAGTGGTCTAGTTTCAGTTTTTTGCATGTGGTGGTCCAGTTTTCCCAGCACCATTTATTGAACAAACTGTCCATGTTCCATCGTATATTCTTTGTTCCTTTGCTTGACAATTTTTTATTCGGTTACTACTACTGATTCATTGTAGCTTTCCTTGCAGAAAATTTTAATTTTATTTTTAATCAATTATTTTTAATGACTACTTGGCCTTGTCTTGCCCATGTTTTTTTTTTTAACTACTCTATGACTTCATATTTCCCAACTTAATTTTTAATTTGTCTAGAATTATATAGAGTGAAATACATTTTGGTCCTGAGATTTTTTTCCAGATATTTGTCTTGACACAGCTTGTCATATCTTTTCTCTAGCAGTTTGATAAATTCCTGTTTTGTAGTTAACTAAGTATGTATGTCAATAAAATGGTTGTATATATTGCTTTTTAAATTTTTTTCCTCTCTATTTGCCAATGTTTGAAATGGGGTGATGCTGTCCTGTGTTAGGGCCAATCAGGTATGTGACAGCATCCAGTGAGATCTTCAGTGGGCAGGGCCTCTGGGGCTTAGGCTTTCTCTCATCTGGCCCACAGCTCAGATGAAGTGATTTTGAAGCCCACTGGAAATCAGTTGACTGTGGAATTCCTTGAAGAGAATAGCTTCAGTGTGCCCATCCTAGTCTTGAAGAAGGATGGATTGGGGATGACACTTCCCTCACCATCATTTACTGTGAGAGATGTGGAACACTATGTTGGTAAGTACCACAGACCCTTTTAACTGTGGCATTCTTTTCTCCCATCAAGATCTGTGACTCTTTCACTCTAATATACTTTTTGCTTTTCCTTTCTAGTCATCTTGGGGATCTAAGGTGAAATGCCATGCCCACAGTCATTCCTTGGCAAAGCTAGAATCAAAATTCTCCTCTTTTCTTCCTTTCCTAATAGGAACAAAGCCTCAAGGGATCCCCTTCCAGGGATCCATGGTCTCTGCTATATTGAGATGTGAAAGCCTTTGACTCTTGCCCTCACATGTCAGTTGTCTTCTGGGCTTAATTTTTGGGAGATATAAAGAGAAGAAGTAAGGAGGCAGGCCTGGCCAGGTGGATTGTACTATGAATGAAGCTCTGTGTCAGACAGTTCTGTTGCCCTAGCAGTCCTGGGCCTGGCACAAGTAGAGAGTGAGGGATTCTGACCCTTGCTTCCAAACACAAGCATATGAATACAGTGCCTGAGGAGAGTTTTGAATATGATGCCATTCTAGGGATTGGTGAAGGGATGAGAGAGTTTTCCACTCCCTGAGACTACTTGGGACAGAACCCATCTCTTTACTTCAGGTTCTGAAAAAGAGATTGATGTAATTGATGTGACCCGTCAGGCTGACTGCAAGATGAAGCTTGGTGACTTTGTGAAATATTATTACAGTGGAAAGAGGGAGAAAGTCCTCAATGTCATTAGTTTGGAATTCTCTGATACCAGGTAAGAGGGGCAGGGGTAACTACTAAGCCTGACATGTCTTTTTTGTCTAATGATTTACTTTTTTTTTTTTTCAATTTTCAGGGAGGTGTTTTATTGAAAAATTGTGATAAAATGTTACATTGTTAATGTACGAAAACAATATTCTATGTTAATGTATGAAACAATATTCTGGTATTCCATTTTCACAAAACGGAATGTAGTACATATGTACATATACATAGAAAAAATTGAAAAACAGAATATTATGATTATATCAGGTTGATGTGGTTATTTACTTTTCTAGCTTTTAATTGTGAAATAATTATAGATTCACAAGAAGTAGCAGAAAATGTATGGGAAAATCTTGTGTATCCTGCACCCATTTTTCCTTCAATGGGAAAGTATTAAAACTCCTGCTGTTGGTTTTAACATGCAAAGTTAATGAAAGGGTGTTTTAAAAAACTGTGTTTATTTATACCTTACTTCATCTGAAAGATTATTTGAAGTAGATTACAGAGATGCAGAGAGTGGGGAAAAGAAAATTGGAACAAAAGGAAAATAAAGGTGGGGAAATCGGATGCATCTGGTAAGCCACCTGCACACAGTGTGTAATTGTCTGGATTGTTGGTGGAGAAGGACTACAGAGTTTTCACTGAATTTCCTGAAGAGCAGAACAAATTGGGGAGTGCAGTATTATAAGACTGTAGTTTTACATAAAATAAAAACAACCAGATATTTGGGAGAAATATATCTTTACCTAGAAATGAGCCCTGATAGGTTTCTCTAATGGTGCCTCATAAAGAAGATACTATGAGATGAGAACAGTTTCAGTAGCTGTTATAAACCAAGTCCCAAGTGAATGTGCCTAGATAGGGGTGAGGGGAGAGAGGAGTATGAGCATTCAGTGGAAGCAGTGATAACCTTCAACTGGGTAAGTCTGTGGAAGTGAAACTCAGGACTTTTGGAGTCATCTGGGATGAGGATGCTGGCCAGACATCTAAAAATTAAATTTCCTATGTGCCCTTGCAGATTCTGTGAAGAGAACTTATTTTTTTTTTATCTTTTTTGACCTTTACTGGGATTGGGAGAGAGCATTCTATTCAGGTTTCAACCTTCAATTCTCAATCAGCTTATATCTGTTCTATAACCCTTCTTTGTTAGACTTTCCAATCTTGTGGAGACACCCAAGATTGTTCGGAAGCTATCATGGGTGGAAAACTTGTGGCCAGAGGAATGTGTCTTTGAGAGGCCCAACGTGCAGAAGTACTGCCTCATGAGCGTGAGGGATAGCTATACAGACTTCCACATTGATTTTGGTGGCACCTCAGTCTGGTACCACGTGCTCAAGGTAGGAATGGAGTCAGTTAAATCTGAAGTCTTTCCTATTTTTTTCTATATTTATTAATCTAATTGATTATAATAATCATAGTTTTTTTTTTCTCTTTATTATATTTTTCCTACATCGCTGTAGTCCCTGTAGTTTTCCCACCATCTCACCTGTGAACCATCACCATATTCTCTTGTGTTCTTCCCTCCTCTATTTTGACTCTTTTCCCTCCCTTTCCCTTGCTATATGCCTCAGATCTATTGTCAACTTGCTAGTTTTAACTTTTTCTTTAACTTTTCTTTGGTAGGAGACTTCAACAACCCATTCTTACCAATGGAGTCTTCCTTTTGTGGCAGCAAAAAACAGGTTGCTGAGGCCCTCTTGCCTCCTAGATTCTATTTGGTTGACATTTCTACATAACTACTCTATCAGGGTTGGATACTTGGTGGACCTGTCATATAAACCATCTATAGTTTTGACACTTCACATTTTTTTTGAATCACAGTAGATACCTAAGTTTATTTTCTTAATTGAGCCAATCTGTATTACCACTATGTATGGATATGTCTACTGCAGAAATTCCTGGTAACATGAGAAATTTCCCCTTCTCCCAATTTTATTGAAATATAATGTATATATCATAACGTCATCCATCTTAGGTCTGTACTTTAATGAATTTGACAACTGTATATAGTCGAATAGCTGCCCCTACCATCAAAATAGAGCATGCGTGTGTGTGTGTGTGTGTGTATAATGCAGTTATTTAATGTCCACCTTCCTGTAGTTATTCCCTTTTTTTAAAAAGGTTTATTTGTTTATGCATACAAGATCTGGGGTACAGGCCAGAGGTGTGGGGGGTGAGAGGATTCACCAGATACAAAGTGGGGAACGGAACAGGTGGATTGACTGAAATACACTGCTCAGGGGAACAGCGGGCAAGACAGGAGAGGTCTGCTGTGCCATGTGGATCACCTCCCTGGCTGCAGATTGAACTTGTGCTGCAGAGGCTGCTGATAGCTTCATAGTGCTACAACTTAACCCCTTGCGCCACCAGGGAGGCCCTATAGATTCTCATTTAATAGCAATTACAACTTTGTGATTCACTTATCATCACTGACTACAAAGGATTTTTGAAGTCTGAAAAAAAATTTCTGAAATGATTTTTATTGATTTCCACCACTACTCATTCTATTTGGTTTTCTTATCAGAAATTCCAAGACAGAGCAGAAAATTTTGGATATGCCTCTTGTCCAGATGATCCCAAATCTTTTTTTTAAAGATTTATTTATTTATTTTATACAAGAACCGGGGTACAGGCCAGATGTGCAGGAGGGTGAGAGGATTAACCAGAGACAGAGTGGGGAACAGAACAGGCAGACTGATGAAATACACTGCTGAGGGGAGCAGCAGGTGAGACAGGAGAGGTCTGCCACACCATGTGGGACCCTCGCCAGCCTGCCAGGATTGAACCCGTGCTGCACAGGCTGCGGACAGCTTCACAGCACGGCACTTAACCGCCTGCGCCACCAGGGGAGGCCCCAGATGATCCCAAATCTTGAACTAGTTGTTTCCTTTGGTTTATCATTAAAAAATTGGACTGTGTAAATAAATTGATGTTACTCAAATGTGAGATTAAATTACTTATTTTTAAATAATTTCTTTTTGGCAGAACCATCCAATATTTGCAAAAATAATAGGAAGAATTCTTCTGTATCCTTTGCTCAGATTCCTCAAATGTCACCATTTCATTATGTTCTTTTTTCTACAGCAAACATAATAAAATGGTTTTATATGTCTTTTTTCCTGAAATATTTAGTAGTTGTAGTATTGGTGTCTCTTCAGTGTGTGTTCCTTTAAAAGAAGCTCATTCTCTTATATAACCACAGTATAATTATCAATATCACAAAATTAACGTTGATATACTACAGGTCTGATTAAAATTTCTCCAGTTTTGCAATAGACATTTTAGTGTTAGTTGCTTTTCTTTGTTGAAATTCATCATCATGAAATATTAGTTGAACTAATCAAGCTGTGGGTTGGGGATATTTTCACACTAGTATGTCTTTTTTTTATCCCCTGCCAAAATATTTATCTGGTGAGTACCCAGGCAAAACATAATTACTTAATAAAATATTTTCCAACAAATAATCACCTAACGTATAATCTTCTGGAAGTCCTTAGGCAATTACTGAACTTTTAAAACTTTTATTAGCTTTGATTGTAGGTGTGAGAAAGAACACTCTCTGTAAATGGCATTTAAAGACAAATTCAATTTTTTTCTCATCACTAATGTGACCTTAAGTTCTCCTAGAGCCGGTAGTATTAATCTACTCATTTGTAGAGCCATTTTTCATTTGGCATTGTATCTAAAATAGGAGCCTTTGGTGTACATTTGTCCTAAGTTGAATAATTTTGGTTGAAATGCCCTTTCTAATTTGTTTTTGACTCTCTTATAGAAACTTAAAAATCCAAAGTGCAAAAGACCTTTTGAAGTTTTCTAAATCCACATATAAATGATTGTTGAATGGGTTTGGGAAAGAATTCTGGCATGGTCTTGAAACATGGAAGAGAAAATAGCCTTTAAAGAGACCCTAGAGGACTTTTCTGGCAACTCTTACTGATTTTAATACTTCATCCTCTTTTTGTTTCAGGGGGAGAAGATCTTCTACCTGATCCGCCCAACAAATGCCAACCTAACTCTCTTTGAGTGCTGGAGCAGCTCTTCTAATCAGAATGAGATGTTCTTTGGGGACCAGGTGGACAAGTGCTACAAGTGTTCTGTGAAGCAAGGACAGACACTTTTCATTCCTACAGGTCTTCCCTGGGTCAATCTGGGAGGTTGTGAGGACTGTGTGAAAAGGAAGTAAGCTTGTAGGGTCTGATTACATGGGGTATCCTTGTCATATCACCTGAAGGCTCACAAGTGGACTTCAAAAAAATTCCATGGTGGCCATTGGACAGCATCATCATTTGGGGTGGCTGCAAGTGGGAAAGTCCAGGAAGAGGTTGATGCACTCCTTTGCACTGGGCTGATGTTAACTTGGACAAAGAATAGGGCACTCTACTTTAGACCTCTGGGGATAGTGACTGGAAGGCTGGCATTGTGGACTATAAATCAAAAAGAACTGTGATTGGGCTATCATTTTATTCCTAAAAAGTACATGCCTAGGTGTAACACCTACAATTATGG